TGTATTTTACGTCAGTCCGAAAACACTTGAAATCACAAGAATAGTGTTGGACGATTTGAAGTCGATTGCGCCAGAAATAATCGCAAACTTTAAGACTAAAAGTCTCGAGAAGATCAAAACAATAACAGAAAAGACACAAACACTCACTGAAAACGTCAACCAAATAATCGAGGAAAAGAAAGAGGAAAATCCGGGGTTCTTGGCAAATGTCTCGTCGGGCATATTTGGCTTCTTTCAGACCCTCCTCCCCAATTTGGAAGATGTTGATCAAGAGGAAGAGAATATCAAAATGAATCAACAGAAAAAGAGTGAAGAGGAGAGAGCAAAGAAGGAGAAGGCATCAAAAAAAGAAGCTCTTGATGCTGAAGTACAACAAACGAATATCGTTTTAGTCATTGGAGACGAGAAGAAAAAACACATAGTAATGAGTGTACGATTTGGGGTGGATAGCGTTCAAAAAATCGAATTTAAAATACTCGAGTTTTCGATATTACTTGGGAAGGATAAGATGGTGGAGGTGAACAATACTCAACAGTCTCAAATCTGTGTGACAACAAATAGAGATGGAATATATGACATTCAAATCAAAGGTAAAGTAACAGTGACTGTCAATACAAAGTCAGTGGATAAAGAGAAAGATGGTGTGATTAGTATTTTCGAAGCGCTTGGAGATATCATTAAAACAGTTGAAGATGTGTTGATTGCTACTAAGAGTGATACGACAAATTCAAAAGAAACTACCGACGAGACACTGCATACTGGAACAAAGAACACTCAATCTAAAACAGCCATTCGCGCTATTGTGGGATTTGAAAACATTGAAGTGAATTTTGTGGGAAACAACAAATCCGTCAAAGTAATATTGAGTTATGAGGAATTCAAGAACACGCCATTTGTCCAATTGAGTTTGAATGAGCGAATGGGAGTGACAGTGAAATGCGAGAGGTTTGTCATTGAGATCAACAAGAACAAAACTGTTTTGAGAAATTTGGAGTACATCTCACAAGGAATTGGCTCGCCGAAAGTCGAAGGGAAACTTGGGCGACTCTTTACAAAGAAAAATGGGATAGTCATGAATAACTGCTTCGACGAAATGCCGAGTGTATCAGCCGCATTTCCAACACTAAAAATAGAAGAAATAGCGAACATTGAGTCAGTGTTATCTTATGCAGAAAATGCGAGTGTTGGGTATGTTGACAGCATAGTTTCAGAAATCGAAGTAGAAGATATCAACACGATGATTTCAGTGAGTTCCACGTTTGCGTCTGTCATCGAAAGAATTATTGAACTTGTCTTACCACACAAAGAACATTCAAAAAAGAAAGAACCTGTTGATTTTGTAGCTACAGAAAAAACATCCCAAGAAGTCGACGAGGTGTTTCGATGTGACGAAATTGACTGCAAAGAATTTTGTACGAAGCTTGCGAGTGCGAACGAGAAGTCGCGAGTCACGAAAAGTAGTTTGCAGATTGGAGTAGGGAAGGTTGATATTACACTACGAATGTTAAGAGAGAGTCTCCGTTTTGTTCTTACGAATTATAGTTATCTCTCGGCAAGTGGGGTACTTGGGAGTACTCTCTCAGTGAGTAGCCATACAATCAATAAAGTTGATGTGTCTGTGTCTTTTAAACAGAACGATTACGACAAAATAGAGTACTTTAGAACCAATGATCCTCTTGTTATATTAGAAAAGATGTGTTTGTTTGATGTCAGTAACAAATGCAGTGATGAGGAGTTTACGAATGAACTTGATAAAGACTTATTCATCAATTTTATGCGGTTACTTAAACCACGAAACATCGAGAAGTCAAGGTTTTATCATATTGAACATGTCGACATCTACTTGTCGTACTCTCTCGAAGAAATTGATTTTGTGAAGAAAGTGTTTAAGGCGATGACGTGCACTTCTAGCCAACAAACGGAACACTTCACATCTTCTGAAAGTGATCAAGAACAAGACATTCAAAGTGTTACAAGTGTAGATCCAACACGATCATTCTTCATGTTAAATAAATTGAATATTACTATACAACCCCTCCAACACATTCATATACCAAATACTACAGATTTGGTTGTGCAAGTGAATGACTTATTTGGACATATGAATCAAATGTTGAGTGGGAATGAGAAGCATTTGTTATGTCAGTTCCGTATGAATTGCTCATTCTTTGGTCTTCTAGTCGATACACAAGTCAATGTGAAATATGGGAAGAAGAGCGAAATGAAGATCCCGCTCTTCTCACTCTTCGGCAAAATTCCAGTTGAGAAAGTGCAAAAGATCATCACTTCCCTCTCAACGTTCTTGGTGCTCGCTTTTCCATATAAAAGCCAAGACAAACCCCTTCCGGAGAAAGTTGAAATGTCGTGGAAAGAGTGGTTTGGAAGTTCACAAGTGAAAAAGGTCCGCGTTGATAACACGATCAAATATGACACACTTGATGCAATGGTTGCAGCGAATCAAAACAATTTGAGAGTCATCGACGAAACGTATATGTTGCTGGGAAGGAGCTTCTCCCGAGGTGTTCCGGAGACGCAATTCTATTCAACTAAACCGGAAGACGTGACTATTATTGATCCACATGACACAGCAACACCTTTCTATGAACAACGTGAAATGCCAATTCCTCACAATCCAAGCGACACTACCTTCACTATTGCAGTTGAAAGTTTTTCAATGGATTGTCATGTGGTGGAAGGGGAAAAGGATGTTGTTACTTTACTTCTTGAATACACTCCAATCAAAGTTGTGTTAAATAAAGGAGGAATCACTCTGGACATTGTCTTTGGGAAATTCTCTTTTTCGTGTGGGAATGCGGGTGATACCCCGATCATGGCGGTGACATTAACCCCTGGAGTCACTGTTGGGATGAAAATGTTTTCTCCAAAGCAAATCAAAGGGTCTAGTGGGGAATCTGCATTGGAAATTATTATAGCAAATAAACAATCCACATTTGGGATGTCCCTCTCAGAGGAAGTGATGAAAGTCGAAACGTTCTTCTCAACACTTGTTGGAAATGAAAAATCAGAGACCCCAACGTTCATCGAAAAATTGACGGCACCACCAACGAAACTCAACTTAACAAGATTTGTGATGTATCCGATGCGCGCTAAGTTTAATATCAAAATCAAGTCTCTCGAGGTATTTAATAACACCACACAATTCCCGATGTATACTTTGATGATTAGTAGCGTGTATGGCGATGTCGGTGAAATAGTTTCAAGTGTAGTTGCGCGAGCAAAAGACGAAGCGTTTAAGAAGATGACATCACTCTTACTGTGGACGGCAAAGGGGTTTGTGTCGGGTACAAAGTCCTTATCCATTCATTCGCTGAAAAATGTCTTTGTCTCGTTTTATTGAATTTAGTTTATACAAGTTGTTTTAAAGAATAGAGTTAATAAATTATTAATATATTAATTAATATATTTATTAATAAAGAAACAATCAAATAGTAAAGGAAGCGATGGAATGGACGGTGTTCTCGACTTGAAGTAATTCATTCTGTTTTTGTTCCATTGGTATTGAGACATCATGGATTTGGCTGTGTAACACTTTTAACCGCGTTTCAACATCTTCTAGTTGAATTAATGAATTGTCACAGTCGGCTATTCTTGATTTGGCATTCTCAATGGCACTTATACACTACTGGTGAATTAAAAATACATCATCGGGTTAATGAGAATGAAAGAAATACAAACGGATTGAATACTCTGTTTCGACTCGTCTTCAAAGCGAAGGTTGCTCTGTTGTTTGCTTGTCAACAGGTTCAATACATCTTGAAAAGAGTTGACTGTGTTGTAAGTGT